GCATGGAACATGACATGGGTTTATGGGTATAGGGTTGGTGTAGGATAAAGGGCTCATGCATGCATGTTCACGTTTTTGAGGCAAGGAAACAGGCATCCACCTGAAAGGGGGGACTGGGGGCCAGGGAGGGGCAGTGCACTACCACGCCGGCCCCATACCCTCCCTGGCCCCACCAGCAGCATGTTTACATGCATGGAACATGACATGGGTTTATGGGGTATAGGGGCGGGGTAGGATAAAGGGCTCACGCATGACATGTTCACGTTTTTTCATGGAAAGCCAAGACGCGGGGATCCCACCCTGAAAGGGGGGACTGGGGGCCAGGGAGGGGCAGTGCACTACCACGCCGGCCCCATACCCTCCCTGGCCCCACCAGCAGCATGTTTTATTTTCAAAGCATATTAGCGGCAAAACATCAGCAGTGTAAAGAGTCCCCAACAATATTTGGGACCATCAAATATTATTCAAGTCAACGCAGGCAAACTCGGACTCTCTCTTTTTTCTATGGACGGTTTGCACCGATGCGTGGGGAACATCCGAAGGTTATGCAATTGCAGATGCATCCAACTGGCCATGGTCACACGTACCATGCCTGCATTTGTGACATCGCACAAACGCGTGAATGTCATCCCCCCCGCATAATCGCGCAGTGCGATGCCAAGAAGGACCGGAACACGGGACTATTATTCTTTTGAGCAATCCTTTACCAAACATCCATAATAAGAACCAAAGCCAAATTCAAATATCCATCAGGACTAACGTATTCAGAAAACATTCGCAAATCATATCAATCAAATACCTCTCACATGAGTGTATTCACTGTTGACTGACATGATGCACAGCACAGGACGCATTGAGAATCGCTCCTTGTCATTGACGGGGGAATGCACGAGTGCGTAGCATTTGCGCGTTATGCCTGGCCTAAGCCCAAAGTCCATAGCCGTGGATCCAATGAGCACACATGCTCACGCACGGATGGAAATCAGGAACGGCCACATCCCCCCATCAACAAGACTCTAGTTCCTCTAAGCTGTCAAAGGAATTCGGACTCACACCAGCACAGGCTGAACCTTTGTGAAGTCACTGCCACACACATCGAACTCCAGGCGCGAAGCCGCATCAGCGCAGTTGCTCTTTGAGGGTACCCGGGAGTACCAAGGCAAGCATCGCAGCAGCACATCCTGCTCGAAAATCTCAAACAACAGATCTGAAGCATCAAGAAGGGGCGAGAAACCACGTATCAGCGCCGCCTTCGCAGCCTCATTATCGATGTAAAAGAAAACCCTGCGATTCTTCAAAATCTCACTCCATGTCTTCTTGGCCACAAGAATGGGGAGGATTTCGGTGAAGAAGATCAGTTGCGTCCTGCCGGACCGCCGCCATTTCAGCACGAGCGCCTCGGGCACAGGGCAACCGAAGAATTGGTGCCTGATGACAGGTCGACAAGAACAGCTCCCATCGTGATGCTAGAGGCCTCGCATGCACCATCGGTATAAACAACAACGGGTGGTTGCTCCGACCAAAGGCTCACAGTCCTCGGCCCAGAAGATCTCAAAAGACCCAGGGCCCTCTCAGCCAAACGCAACCTCAGAATTAGGTCCACTGCCTGTTTCGCATTGCCTGATGGCCTGAATCGCGATCTGACTGCACTTGCCGAACACATGCGACGCAGCGAACAACAACTTGCCCTTCAAGGACGGGATAAGGTCCAGGGATCCGTTCCCCCGCGCAGCCATGGCACCCAAAAGCTTCTCGATATCCCCAAGCCGGCCAGGTTTGTTGGAAACCATAACAAGGCCTCTTGGCATTTCTGCAAAAGAAATCCTGGCTCCAAGCATATTGAAGGTGTCGGCAAAACCTTGCAACTTTTCACCCTTGGCAACCTCCCATCCAAGAAGCTCCAACAGGGATAGAGCAGTTTCGCTTGCAGACTCCACAAGGTCAAGAAGCTCCAACTGGCAGAAGTCGTCGTAAAATGATGTGCACACCAAGCAAAAGAGCCTTATCATAATGATCCGAAGTGCTCTGGCTGTTTTATTGAATCCTGTGACTGAACTTGTCGCACCGAACGGCAGTGCCAGGGATTCGAAGAACATGACGCGATCGTGATCAACATCCAAGACTGCGAGCACAGACGCCCACCTATCCTCAGGGTGGCACGCAAGTTGCTTGTAAGCACTTTTGAGATCAAGAGCCCTTCCTCGCAGGAGTCTAGATCTCCCATTCCGAAAGTCATCGTGTAGCCGTCCCTTAAACACAGTGCCGTCCTGTGCGGGGAGCTTGAATTCTGGCACTCCCCTGGTGGTCGCCCCTCCGAAAAAGCGTGCCACAGCCAAAATTTCATCAACCCCATCGAGAACTATCTTCTCCGACTCGGAGACAGTAGAGTTGACCATGTGTTCGGATACGTCATCTACTGCACGGATTTTCTCTCCTTGTACTATGCCGAACCTCTTCGACGCGACCCAATCTGGGCCAACTCGGGCATCGATCTCCGAAGAACTGAACGGTCCGCGAAGCCACCCTTTCTGGGCCTGATCAAGAGATTCCTGCCACACAGCTCTCGCCACGCTTGTGTCCTTGGCCGCTTTGCGACATGATGCCGCGACAAGGTGTTTCGCCCATTTCGCCGTCTTCCGGAGGTCATCCACAGACAAGGCTGCCACCTTGCATTTGGGAGGAAACTGCCCTGATGGCACCAACTCGCCAGTGATGCGGAAACCCGAAATCAGGTCGTGGAACAGGTTTTCGTCTCCCACACAAGCATCCCCTCAGCATCTCTTTGAAAAGAAGAAGGTTTTTTGGCTGCATAACCCCCCTGACGTCAGGATGCATCTTGGCTTTGAGGGCCAACTCGTCTTTTTGGAGGGCAAGCTTTCTTGCTCGGTAGTAGTCCAGAGCTGCCTTCCTCTTGGCCTTTATCCCTTCCACTCCTTCGGACAAGATGGTTGCAATCGCCCTCATATTCGGCGCATCCATCGACACGGGTGAATCAAAGGGGCGGGCAATTTTCAAAGATTTTTCAAGAAAGACTTCAGGTGTGTGAAAGACCCCGTACTCAACCTCGCGAACCCAAGATCCCCCTTTCAAAACCTCGCGACTCCACAACAACTTGGATCCTATGGGGACACCTTGGAGGCCGTGTGGCGCATCTGCTGGTATCTCCTGCGGTGGATCCGCTGCCGCCGGGATGGTCATCGCCACGCGGGCGGATACGCCATCTCTTGCATAAGGGCACGAAACCACTTGGTTTGCCACATCCATGACGAGGATGGGTTCTCCACCACAGAAATCTTTCCAGGCCGTCTGTGCATATGACCAGACCTCACCTGCAAAGGCATACAAAGCATTAGCGCTGTCGACCTTAGCCTTGGCCACCCCTCGCAACCACGGGAAACCCTCTGGGAACCTAGATCCTCAAAGGGGGACGGGGCTCCGGCTTTTGGACCAACGCCTCAGTGCGACTGACAATCCACCGCTGCCACAAAATACTTCCAGCGCACACGGTCTTGCGGCCAGGTGAAAGGTACAGAAAGCTCCC